GAAGGTTACCATAATGGAAGGGGGATAACATCACTATAGACTTCATGATATATTTGTTGAGGAAGTTATTAGGTCATTATGTCATTTGAGTCTTTGTAGACAGCTTGATTAGTTCAGCCTATTTCCTGGCAATCAAAGCTACCTGTCCATTGGAAAAGCAAGTAGAGCTCTATGCACAAGAGATCATGTCACTACATGTGGTACTTGAGAGAAGTGTTGGACTTTAGGAGATCTTTACAAGATGTTGTAAGAGCAACTATGTTATATGGTAATGAATTTTGAGCTTTAACAGGACAATAAGAGTATAAAGTTGGAGTAGTAGAGATGAGAATATTGAGATGGATGTGCGGATATACACATAAAAATAGAATTTGAAATGAGTACAAATGTAAAAAGGTGGGCGTAGCATCATTGAGAGAAACATGGTTGAAAATTAGTTGAGATGGTTTGAACATGTGTAAAGAAGACTACGGGAGGCACCATTGAGACAAGTATAATGGATAACTTTGAGCCTTGTTAAGAGGGGTAAAGGAAGGCGAAAAAGAATATTTTTGGAAATTGTTGAACAAGATTTCTTAGGTAACATTTCTAAAAGCTTGGTATATGAGGTCATAATGGTGTTATACAATTCATGTAGTTGACCCATATAGTGGCATGAGGCTTGTTGCTATTGTTTTTGTCACTTGCAATTTAGCACCCTTAGATCGGCAATTAGATAGAGCATAATTTCAAACGTTGGAGGATATGTTAAGGGAAATTGTGACTACCCTTTACCTTGGTTGAATTCGCTTATAATAATAGTTACCATGCAAATATCCAAATGGCGCCTTATAAGGCCTTGTAAGGGTATAAGTGCTACTAACTATTGTGTTTGACGGATTTAAGCAAATAGAGTATTATAGGGTTGGACCTAGTAAACTAGACTACCCAAAAGATATAACTTATCAAACAAAAGCTATTAACCGCCTAAAGTCATCAAAAAGAGCTATGTTGATCGTTGACAAAGGTTGTTGGGATTGGCAATGGGATACCATGTCTTCATGAAGATGGCCCCCTTGACTAGCATTGATTGAGCAATCAAGGCGACAATGCTTAGCTATCAATACATCCATTTAGGTTAGAACACCATTTAGTTACCATTTATGGGAAAATTGTAAGAATCCTTCTCATGAAAGGGCCTTGGGATCTTGTTTGTGGATATATGAATGCTTTACAGAGGTTAGAACACCTTGAAAAAGTCTTAGAATGAGGAAATTGAGGTTTTGTCCATGTCATTCATGGACATGATTAAAAGGAGTCATGTCTTTCGATGGACTAGAACAATAAAGAGAGCTTATACTCTTTGTCCACGTTCTTGGGCGGACGTGGACTATGTGAGTCACATTTGTCATGAAAGTTACTATATGATCATCTTAAATGAAATTTTTAGGGTTTCATTTCTCTCTCTGCTAGAGTTTGGAGTTCCTAAGGGTTGTTTTCCCATTTTTTCAATATATTTCACAGATTAGAGTTGTGATTTCTGGTTTAGAAGGTTAGGAGTGATTTAGGAATAGGATTTTAGGATGTTTTTATAATTTTTGAAACCCTGAAGAATTTAATTTAGGTAATAGATGGTTTGATTCATGAATATCCAAGGCCATAGCTCAGGAGAATTGGGGTTTTAGGGAACTTGAGATTAATTGGAGCCTAAAAGAGAATTTAATAGATTAATTAATAATTAATTAGAATTCATAAGGCGAGAAAATTACAGTTAAATGATTAGAATTCAATAAACATGATTAGATTTGACTAGTTATAGATAATGAAACATTGGAGTTTGGTGGTGAAACAAAGAATTTTTCTATAAGGATTGCACTACATCAAGTGTAATCTTTGAGTCCTTATTTGTTTGATCTGGTTCTAGGCATTTTGAATGAGAATATTTAAAAGAAAATCCTCAAATGCATGTTTTTCATGAATGATATAGTCATTTTGGAGATAAGAAAAGAGATTAATTGTGGGTTTTAACAAGACAATAAGAGTATAAAGTTGAAGTAGTAGAGATGATAATGTTGAGATAGATGTGTGAATATACACGTAAAGATAAAATTTGAAATGAGCATATACATGAAAAAGTGGGCATTACATCTATTAAGGGGAAAAGGTACAAAGAAGATTGTAGGAGGCACTAGTAAGGAGATTGGAACTAGAACTATGCAGCGGGTGAGAGGGGTTTGCTTGAAGGGTAGCCTATAGCCTGTCCTGTTTTGCACAAAACTGGCTGGGCTGGCCCGTACCCATATGTGGCCCGTTTCAGCCCATACAAGTATAGGGAGGTTAAGGCTAGCTCGTTTTGTGCAAAAGCCTTTTTTTTAACAAAAAAAAATGAAGTAGGAAATTGCTCCAATATTAACCAAAATAAAAGAATAAATTCATTACAAAAAATATGGGAAAAGGTCCATAGAGAGAAAAATTATTCCTAAATATCGAATTATGAACTTAAAAACAAAAATATGCAAGTCATAATAAGTGTATTCCCAAGGTGGCTTATATAGGATATTTGAACTTGTAAATAGTCCCAAAAAAACAAGAATAAATTGGCCTACTAGCCCCAAATAAAAAAAATCTTGTGCCAATAAAATGTGGGCCAAATTTTTGAAAACTTGAAAGTGTGGCCAATTCATATTGATATATAAGGAATTTATCATTGATATATAAGATGTTTATCGTTAATATACAAGAGGTTTACCATTGATATTCAACAGTATATCATTGACAAGTATAATAAATTGGTTATAATGTAAAATATAATAAATATTGGGTTATTTGCTTAGTTCAGTATTATAATATGGGTTATGTCAATAAAATCTGAAAAAACAATTATGATAATTCCCAAATTACACCCAAGTACCCGACAATTCATCAAAGCTATTTTATAAGTCATCCCTGTACTATTATACTTCACATCTGGATAGAGGGAGAGCAAGAATGAGTGAAGATGCATCTGGACATTGATTGAAACAAGAAGGGAAGACGTGTACAATCTGGATGACAACGCACTTGGACTTCAAATCGACCTCTGGGAAGGCGCCATGTGTGCAAAGTGAGAATAATGGTGGGGTGTAGATCGATGTGCAATAAAGGCAAACGAGGCAAATGGTCTTTCAACAGTGGCAAGGTGGGGAGATGCAAGGTTTTTAGATGAAGATTGAAGAAGGGTGATATGAGTACATACTTTAAATGTGCGGCATGAGCGAGAAGCCAAAAAGCATTAGTTGAGACTCTAGTCTGTGATTTGAGGGGGAGGAGTAAAAGACGAGACATTGGGTTTTTGACTTAAGAAGTCGGAATTGAAAATTGTGACTAGAGCCTAAAGGAGAAGGTGAGAAGGAATAAGGAAGACTATTAAAAAAACTAGAAGATGTGGGGTGGAAAAGTTAATGGTTGGGCTTTGTAGTGTTTTTTAAGGCTTTATTTTAGATCTAATCTAACAAACTTGAAATATATATAAACACACACACACACACGGGCGGGAACGGGCAGCCTGATGATCTACCCGTAGCCCGTCCCACCTGTATTTTTTTCAGCCCATTTTTTTCCAGCTCGCTCGTTTTTGTTTTTGGGCAAGTTCAGGCTAACGCAAATTAACTATATACGAGTAGGTTTATCAGGTCACGGGTCACTTGCTCACCCCTAATTTGAATAGATAACTTTGAGTCTTGTTAAGAGGGGTAGAGAAAGGTTAAAGAGAATACTTTTGGAAGTTGTTGATCGAGACTTCTTAGTTAACATTTTTAAAATATTGGTATATGTTAGATTACAATAACGTCATACAATTTATATAGCCAACTCCACTTAGTGAGATAAAACTTCTTGTTACAATTATAAATATTGAATGATAAAAAGACGCTAGGATTTGCTTATAGCTATTGTACAGATCTTAACTGTTTGAGATGTTATGAATTGCAAAGGTTGTAGTTGAACTTCAAGTTTGGCTAAATGATAAAAAGTCTTTCTGTGTGAGTCTTGGAGGTTCTCTTTGGATTAGAGACCTCAAGTTCTTGTGTTAAACTGAAGCCCATCTGATTATGTTTAAGTTTACGTTGTATGCATGCGTTAGTAGGCAACTGTTTTCATATAAGAATTATTGAATTTGGCTAATGAGCATGACTGGTGTGGAAAGTAAATGGACTTCCATAAATGAATTTCTGACTAGTTTAGGATTGATTGCTGTTGATTGAGCAGGGACCGGGTAGAATTGACGAAACTGTTATATTGAGAACTTGTGGTTGTGTTGAACATGGAATGGAATTGATGAATCTATATTGATAGATTAGACATATAGTTGATATAATTGGACTAATTGTGATTATCATATTTCTTGTATTAGATTGTAAATTGCATGATATAGCGTGTTGAAAGTGTTGGGCCATTTTTTAGGGGCAAGGTTAGTTTGTAATCTTACCCTCGCCCTTATTGGGGGTGCTCATTGTGTAGCGCTTATGTGCATGTGCTGTCTGGGTTCTCTAGTCGGGGTTAAGAGAGGTCCGGTAGCATTTTATGGCACCTTGAGTGTTCAGAATGGGGAGGTTGTGATCTGATTAAAAGCTCTGGGCTTTTGGCTAGGCAACATTTCCTAATTGGAGTGCTAGGATGCTTAGTCACGCGGGTTTGTTTGTTAGCTTGTTAAGCCCGCAATCTTAGATCTTAACAAGGAGAATGAGATTTGTTAATTATGTGTTTATCTAGAAACTGTAATTTAGTGACATGATGTTCTGTTGCATGGTAGCTGTTGGAATTGGGAATCCTGTTAGTGATGATTAATGAAATATGATATGTGCTTTCAATTGTGTATTGGTATTTGTTGGAATTGTGAACCTTGTTAGTATTGATCAATGCATGATGTTTATGCTATGACTTTGGTATACTGGAACTTGCGAAAACCCAATAGGTCATGATGTTTTGTAGCCTTAAATGGTTTACTAAGACATCTCTCTCACTTTTTTCCTAATATTTTTCAGGGAACACGAGCGGAGTTGCAGGAAAGAAATTGGCATCGAAAAAGAAGCATGGTTCCATAAGGGGCATTGTTATTTCCCCTTTTATTTTAGATTAGATCGCATATTGATTTACTTTTCTCAGATGATTTAGCCTCCAGGTCTTGTGATTAGAAAATTTTATCGGAGTGCAAGTTGTATTGATCCTGTCATGTTTCTTTAATTATTTAGTGTATTTTGGAATTACCTGATTGATTGAGGAAGAGCAAAGCTCTACCGAGGAATTTTTGCAAGCATGTTAGAGTAGGTGGAACGTGCATAGGTTGTATGTATAACTGTTTTGGGAATTGCCTGTTGTTTTGCATGGCAGGCAATAATGCACGAATTTGTGTCCTTGAGGTGTGCTTATTCCTTTCCTATTATGGGCTTACATTGGGATTCGTTCTTTTCCTACCATAGTAGATATAAAAATTTGATATTGACTGATAACGCGTGTTAGCCTTTTCTGTTATGATAACATATGATTGGTTGAAAACTCTTTTACCATAGTAGAGTTCATGTTGGATAGTTATATGATGATAGAATTTTGATTGATTCTTTTATACGAAGATAGTAGTATTAGGGATTACTTTTTTTAGTAGGAAGATTGTCTAAGTATTGCAGTGAGAATGTTTCAAATCACATTATATCACAACCAATACCAATTGTAAGGATGAGATTGAGGAACGGTGGTTGCAATTATGAGCCGATGAAACCTATTTTTGATACATTGCTTCAAATTATGTAGAGGATAGGGCTTATAAAATTCTAGAGTCAATAATTCAAGTAAGCCGGGTTTATTCGGGTCGAGCTTATTCGGATCGAGCTTATAGTATTTTATTCCTTCCAAGAAGTTCATATAACTAAGTTTGATTTTAACACTTTGAGTTTGGGTTTACTCAGGCTAAGTTTAAATACTTAAAATTTTTTGAAAGTTTTTTCTTTTTTTAAACCAATTTAAATTTTTAAATAATTTTATTAAATGTAAAATATTATTTTAACTTTAAAAGAATAAAATGAAAAATGCTTTATCAATTTTGTATTTAAGTAACTCTGTTATTATTTTGTTATATTATATGTAATTTATTTATGAATTTTTTTTACTTGTAAACTAATGTTTTAATTGTTTAAATATTGCTCTTATCAAAGTCATATATAAATATTTTATATATTTTAATTAAATTCAATTATTTTAATTATGATTAAATTGATTTCAATTCAATCACAATTAGACTATTAATTTAAAATTATTATTTCAATTAGTTTAAAGTTTTTAATAATTTTTAGGTAAATTGTACTTTTCATTTTTTTGAATGTAAGAAAAATAACCATCATTATATTATATAAAAATTATTTAATTATGAGTAAAGTATTATTTTTTTTAAATTATTTTTCTCTAACTTTTTATATTGTTTGGCTCTTATGTATAGAGAATTTTTATTTTAGTTTACTCTTAATTTTTAATCAAGTCTAGCATGGATAATAAATAAGTAATTATTTAAGAATATTATTCTATTTGTTATGTTTATTTAGCAGCAGAGTTGGACATTTGTACATGTTCAAATTTTATTTTTAAAATTATTTATAATTTAATTTTTACTTTAAAATTAATTATCTTAATTTATAAAAGATATAAAATAATTTTTATATCCAAATAATTTATAAGACTCAAATTTTTTTTAAGAAATTGGGTCTTAAAATATAAAAATTAATATTAAAATATATTTTAAATATTATTTTGAGATATTTTATTGATTAAAAATAATAAAAATATGAAATATAACTATTTTATTTTTAAAAAATTAACTAATTAAAACATTCAAATATATTTTTTGATATAAAATGATATAAAACTTAAAAAATTAATTAATATTTGTCATATTTAATATTTTTTAAAAATTATTTTTTTATTCAGGTATTTGGGCCAAGCCCGAACCCACTCAGGCTTGGCTTGAATTTTCTTGAGCCTATTCAAGCCATTTGAATAGGCACGAACAATAAAAAAATTAATATTTTTTTCGGGCTTGGTCTTAAATTTTTTGGGCGAGTTTGGGTTAGTCCATCGAACTTAGCCTAAATTATTGATTCTATAAAATTCTTACTTCAAACAATTTATTGGTGGAATTTAAAAATATTTCTACACTTGAATAAAATTATATTTATGATATTTTTCTGAATAGTGAGGAACTGTGGATTTTCTCAGTAGCAAGATATGTTCATTTGTACATTTAATTACACATTAAACTTATGATTATAATCAACAGGCATTCTACAACTGAGCATTCCACTTCTTGGCCTCTTTTTCATATAAAGGATTAAGTTAATTGAAGTTGAAAATCTTATAAATTTATGCCATAAGTATTGCCATATATAAATTACTTACATCTGGTTTAAATATTCAATTTTACACATTTTCAAAGTTTGTTCTCTGAATACTCCCTGACAACGGTGACATTTGAAGCTGCTTATCCGTGTCAGTTACAGGAGTTACGAGAATTGTAGATGCTGGAGTTGGTATTGCGACATCTCTTTAATTTGAATTATTCCTTGCAAATAGCTAGAGGTTAGAGATATCTCGTCTAAGCCTGAAGTTGCATGTTTGATTGTGGAAGGCACTAGCTGTCCATTTCAATTTCCTGTTCGTTCCTCTTCGATGTCACACCTCATTGTAATTGGTCTAGGTTATATTATTGAGAAGCTTCTATGTCTTTTTTGGTAAAAGAAGCTTCTATGTTTTTAAACCTTTTGAAGTTGGTTCATGGAAAGTGATTGGATCCTCTTCTGCAATTGTAAAAGCTACTTAGATTATTTATTGGTAGTGAACTTTTTATAAATTTATTTAGTGGCAGTAACTCAACCATGATAGTATTATGAAACTTGTGAGTTGCACATTGCATCTAGTGATAGACAAGCTCAATTCTACACATCATTTATTAAAAATAATAATGCTCTCTTTTGATTTCATGAGATGATTGGAGGGTGAAAACATGTAGTGAATACAATACTGATAATTTTCCATGTGATTAAATATCTTCATTTAGTCACACATAGTTTCAACCGTTGTTAGGTGTTTATTTGTAAATGCTTAAATTTCTTTCTTTCTCATGTCCATAGTCAAGCTAATTTTGTTTGATACAAGCTGGAAACTTTTAGTTAACATTTTTGAAAGAAAGATGTAAATAAGTTAACCTACATATTGAATAAAAATTGAGGGAAAATTAAATATAAACTCGGCGATCAATTGGAAAACATAGAAATTGCAAATTTTATATTTAAATTATTATTTATTTCATCGCAAAGGCCACCATCAAAAATTAATGGTAGAGTTGAACAGGCCACTTAATTATAAATTACATGAGAAAATAATGATTAAGTTAAAATCTATTCATCACACATAGTTCACGTCTACTCGATTAATGAAAGATTGAATTCTATAAGATTTAAATTTGATCAGGGAAAAATAAAAAATTGATCAATAATTTATTTATTTTATAATTTCCAAATTTGATATTTCAATTACCATTTATTTATAGAAAAATCAAAGAAAAACTCTGTCATTTTATAATCACTCATACATCTTTCAAAATTTTAATAATAGTAACAAAAGATTCATCATTTTAATTAATATACACACACACATATATATATATATATATATGTAAGAAAAGTTAATTTTGATGTGTTTCCTGCAATGCTATGCTTTGGGATACTTTTCCTATAATTTATTTAGGGTTAGTAAGCAAATAATACCTTAAACTCTTGCTTGAAAATTGCACTAGATTTAAACTCTTAAAATATGTAAAATAAACTCTAGACTTCAAATTTATAGCAAAATAAAACCCTTACCATTAACTTTTTTTAATAACGTTACTGTCCACACGAATACTATAACAACTAGGGTTAAATTTGTAAGAAAATAAACCTTAAACAGTACTTATATTGACAGTAACAATGTTAAAAAGTTAACGATCATGATTTATTTTACTATAAATTTAAAAGTTATAGGATTTATTTTACATATTTTAAGAGTTCAAGATAATTTTTAAGTAATAATTTAAGGTCTTATTTCTTATTAACGCTTTATTTTATATGTATAAAATAAAGTATTTAGGTTTGGAGTTAGTCTTGCCTTAAACTCTTTGTACATATGGGATAATTGTCAACTTCTTATCCTAACAAGAAATATAAGATTTCTAACAACAAATAGGGGAGCATCTTTTGATACTTATTAGGATTTTGTAAATTGTATTATCTAAATTGATGATCAAATTGCTATTAGAGTTAGTAAAGAATTTATGGATATTAAAATCCCCAATAAAGCCTATTGTTGATTTGATTTTTACAAATTTTTCTTAATAATGTTTATAATTCTTCATATTTTAAATATTGATCTTTAATAGCTCCTTGATTAAGGTTGAAGAAGTAATTATGCATATGTTGTCCCCATTCCTCAGCAAAAAAGTTGTATAATTGAGCTTTGATAGTGTTATAAAAGATGATGAAAACATAAATTTACTTGATGATCTTTACTGTATAGATTTTTTAAATTTATTTTAATTGTCATTCTTCTTGGATCATAAAATAATATTTAAAGTGGGTCCTTCAATTATTTTAATGTAAAATATTAATAAATTTATGAAGTTGTGTTTTGGTATATGTCTTATAATTACATGAATTGAAAAACATGTTTTGAGATCAAAAAAAATGTTTGGATCACATATTGCCGTTTGTCCATCTAATTCCATGGTATTATTTATTATGAGGAGGCAATTTTTATTATATTGGCTTTTGACATGATCATTAATAAGAGTTGGGTTATTGTTTTTTATACTTGTTTCATTCTATTTTCACTTACAACTAATTTTGTTTTGCTTTTCTCATGTTCGGGATGGTTTAAAAATAGTGATTCTTGATTAGTTGCTCCACAATGTAATATATCATTTATTTTATTCTAATATGCAGATGTAATATCATTGACAAAAATTAACAACCCCGCTGCATATGGATAGTATTGGGAGAGTCCCGCTGCAAATTCTGTTGTATATGCGACTCGCAATGTGATTTACAGTTTGTTGTTCAAAGTTTGTTCGTTGCGGTATGCATAAAGTAGATAAATAATGCCTAACTTGCCGCCAAATTTCTCTATCTCTCAATTCCAATCTCTGCAATGCTTCCTCTCCACCAGCTTCATGCTCCCACGGCCATTTCTTACACTCTCTCTAAAACCCTAAACCCCATTTTCACTATCCCCATCACTCATCCTCTCTTCCCTTCGACACTTCCTGTCCTTTCTCAGTCAAACTCCTCACTTTCTCACTGCGATTCCTGCTTTATCTCTCGCCGGAATTTTCCCCCCTCCACGCCGCCGTGTTGTGCCCTTGAATTCTCTGGCAGTAGCAGTACCGATTCTGAACAGGATGAAGAGGGGCGTGAGGAATTTGAGGACAGAGACGAAGAAGATTATTCTGACACCAACAATTATGATGTTGACGTCACCATGCTTGAGGAAGAAGCCAAGGACGCAGTCCGAGAGTGCTCTAACTATCTGTCTCGCGTTTTGACTATTGGTGAGTGATTCCAACCCAAGTTGTTGAAATATGGCTTTTATTTGCATCCGAAAGGAATTTGTAAATTGTGCTCCGATTTAAACCGGGAACAACAAGATGCCCGTCGTGTTTTCTCAGGAATCCTCACCCGTTGTGTTGCTTTTACCTTACATTAAATCGTCTTTGATGTTTATTGATTTCAGAAAATGAGAAGGACGACCCCAAAGAAACAGCTCGGAAGACGAGATTAAAAGCAGAACAAGCAACGTAAGTTGGTATTAACGTGCAAAATTGGTTAAAATGACAAATCAGATCGCTGATAACTGACTAAACATTAAAATGTGGGAGAGACACGGGGATGATATGTTGCCTCTATCATGATGTGTATATGAAGCGTTTCATAAAATTTTAAAGAACTCGAGATAAAAAAAAAAAAAAAAAATTTGAGTGACGATGTTGAAATAAACTAGGGCTACTTGCTAAACCTTGTTCCAACTTGACTGCAGGTCCCTGACAATCTTCTCCCAAGGGTTGCAATTGTTGGGAGGCCAAATGTTGGCAAGTCAGCATTGTTTAATCGTCTTGTTGGGGTATTGAGTGCTTGTTTTAGCTTTTGTTTTTCACCAGACTCAAGAATTTTCATGTCAAAGGAATAATATATTGAACTCCAGCTTTCATATCCTGACTCATTATGGAAGTTGTCCTCTTTCTTCCTAACTTCCAGGGAAACAAGGCCATTGTGGTGGATGAACCTGGGGTTACTAGGGATCGCTTATATGGTAGATCATTTTGGGGAGACCATGAATTCATGGTAGTGGACACAGGTGGAGTTCTCACTGTTTCAAAATCACAAGCTGGTGTTATGGAAGAGCTGGCTATTCTACTACAGTTGGCATGGATGGTATTCCACTTGCTTCCAGAGAGGCAGCCATTGCCAGGATGCCCTCAATGATTGAGAGACAGGCAGCTGCAGCTGTGGAAGAGTCATCCGTTATTATTTCCTGGTTGATGGCCAGGTATTGATTATATAAAGCATTTCGTGCTTTAACTTTCTCCTCTATAACTATATTTCTTTTCTTTCCCTTTCATCTTTTCTGTTGATATTTGAATCAGAATCAGGTGTTGTTATTAACCATTGGCAACACCCCTGCATGGTGGGTTCAGCTTTGTAGAAATACTTTAAGTGTTTTGGGTGTCTTTTGATTTTACCATTTGCAATGAGTTATATATGGTACTTCCCACTAGCATGACATGGTGGTAAACAAACAATGTTCAACATCAATTTTCTTTTTATACTTTTATAAGTATTATTTGATTGATTCATTATTTTATTTTTTGGTTAATTGATTAATTCATTTTGCTTGTCCAAACAATAAGCAAGACTTTCCATGACATGAGCACTGATTGTACTGAACAGGCAGGCCTAATGGCAGCCGATGTGGAGATTTCTGATGGTTACGTAAGAACTACTCCCATAAAAGTGTCATTCTTGCAGTTAACAAGTGCGAGTCTCCACGGAAAGGAATTATTCAGGCATCTGAGTTTTGGTCCCTCGGGTAAGCTGCCTTAAATTTCTTAGGTCATGTCTGAATGGGCATAAACCTCACTTTAACATGATCACGAGTTCATGACACTTAACCTATTTGATAAATCTGCACCTATTTTTGATTCTGTCTGGACATGCATATTTATGACTATATATTATATTTTGTTTTGATGTTGAAGTTATGGTTATGATATTAAATGTGCCTTATCCCTTATTGAGTTTGAATTGAGTGTTACTCCCTTAGTTTTTGACTCTATAGAGCTACTGTTTCCCTGTGTTACTATTTTCCAATCCCAGGGGCAATTAAAATAAGGCAAATGATTTCACCAGGCACAAGGCAGATGAAAACTGTTTAGTCCTTTTTTGCATGTGACCAAGACACCATATCGTCTTTCATGTTAATTAGAAAGCTTTATTTTTCATTCTGTATCCTAATGACAATGGCCAATCAATTCAGAATCTCCCTTATCTCTGATTATTTTTAAATCTTTCTTATGTTAACCTTTTGGAAGTCATGAACGCATTTGCATCCCATTTGCCTTGTCTGGAAGAAAATTTAAGAGAATAGGAGGTAAACAAGATTCTTTCTTTGACAAGTACAAGTTCAAACCCCACATATTTAAGGAAAACTTTTTTTTGGTGAAAGATGAGAATGTGGAATTCTTCAATCCTGTTGTTAGTTTAGCAGATATGAAGTATGATGTATCCTTAAGTGTCTCAGTTTGTAGTTAACAGAATGGTTTCCATAATTGCTATTCAGGTTTGAACCAATTCCTGTGTCAGCTATATCAGGGACAGGAACTGGAGTGCTTCTTGACCTTGTATGTTCGGGGCTAGAGAAAATTGAGGTTTGTGCGCATCAAAAGTTGAGCATTCTTCTGATTGTTTTATTGGCAAAAAGATAAATTAGGTGGTATTTGTGTTGTAAGCAAACTCCTCTGTGCAATCACCAATAATAAATCATTTCATTGACTTCAAAGCTCTCTTCGTCTTTACTGGTGCCTTGGCCACCATGCTACAGACATATTTTAATGTTGTTTTGGTAACTTGAGATTTTTAATTGATTATCATCATCAATGCTATTTATAGGAATCAGAAAATCTTGATGAAGAAGATTATGTTCCCGCAATATCAATTGTGGGTAGACCTAATGTTGGCAAAAGTAGTATTTTGAATGCATTAATGGGTGAGGACAGAACAATAGTCAGTCCCGTCAGTGGCACCACACGTGATGCTATAGATACTGAATTTACTGGAGCAGATGGCCAGGTTTCACTCTGGAATTTTTCTTCGATAACATCTTGATGATCTTGTTTAGCAATGCCATTCAGCATTGTTGATTTTCATGGTTTGATATTTGCGGGCCAAAACCACACTGAAATAGGGTTCATGTTCTGTTGTCATGACTGGGGGTCAGCTTGATTGAAATGTAAGTCTTATAGATTACATTGCTCTTTCTCCAGAAGTTTCGCCTTATTGATACGGCTGGAATCAGAGGAAAAGGGCAGCGGTAGCCTCAGCAGGCAGTGTGACAGAGGCTCTGTCAGTGAATCGAGCATTTCGTGCTATTCGCCGTTCTGATGTTGTTGCTCTTGTCATTGAGGCTATGGCTTGTATCACAGAACACGTACATTCTAGATACTCTTATGATTTCTGGTGCTTGAGTTCATCTCCTTGTGAGAAAGATTTTTTTTCTACCAATGCTTATCCACATATATTCAATCAAAATTTCCAATTCCTTGTCAAACTCTGTAAATTGATGCCATGTTAATGGTGTCAAAAGTTGGTCAATCACTGGAGGAATTACTGCGTATAGACCTTACAATAGAAAAGGACTGCTAGTTGTGTAAACTGTTCCATAATTCTTAAATTAGTTTTTCTAACAAACTTCATTTTGCATGTTTGTTCAAGGACTGCAAGATAGCTGAGAGGATAGAAAGAGAAGGGAAAGGTTGTGTGATAGTTGTGAACAAGTGGGATACGATACCAAATAAAAACCAGCAAACTGCAACATACTATGAAGAAGATGTCAGAGAGAAGCTCCGTTTACTTAACTGGGCTCCCATCGTCTATTCCACTGCAATAGCTGGTCAAAGTGTTGACAAGTATGTTCTGGCTTGAAAATTATTGACACATTTATGCTGCATGGTATACTAATATCGTTTTTGCTTTGAATCCCCTGATATTGCCTTCAACAATTGTGGCATCTGAGGGATTAATATGCAGTCAACTTGAATGTCTCATGGTGAAAGAGGCTGCATGTAGTATTGAAATTCATTTACCAGTTAATTTTTAGCCCCGTATTGATTTCATGCAGTTGTCGTATCACCTGGCCTTGGACAATTTTGATATACTGAATCATTCTTTTCCAATAACTTCTGGGAGTTTTTGGGCAATCACGCCCACCGGAATAAAGATGTGTTAAAGTCTGATAAATAACCTAGAGATGTGTTAGCTTCTTAGATTTAAACAAGAGAAGGGTGTCTAACTTTCAAAACCATTCAGTTTTTTATGTTTCGTTGCAGTTGATCCTTAGTGAATAGCTGATTGCTTGTTGTTCTGAATGAAGGATTATTGTAGCTGCTAGTGCAGTTGAAAGGAGAGATCGAGACGACTTGGTACTTCTATTCTGAATCAAGTAGTGCGGGAAGCAGTGGCTTTTAAACCACCTCCCAGGACACGAGGGGGAAAAAGGGGGAGAATTTACTATTGCACTCAGGTATTTGTATCTTGCAGTTTTAATTGTACGTCTTCTGTCATTTTATGGTTCTTGCTATTCACAGCTTTTAAGATTTTACTTTAGTGGAGAAAATATTATCAACCAAATAATTAGTGAATGAACTCCGTACTTGTCCTCTTGCAGGCTGCGATAAGGCCACCTACATTTGTTTTCTTTGTGAACGATGCAAAACTTTTTCCCGAGACTTACCGCCGATATATGGAGAAGCAACTGCGTACAGATGCTGGTTTTTTCAGGTACACCTATTCGGCTTCTGTGGCGTAGCAGAAGGAAAGCGGGAAAGATGAAGGTCAGTGTTTTAGAATCAATATTTTGTATGTCCTATTGACCTTGTGCATCTAATGTCCCTGAATGTAGTTAGAGGTTATCCCATTTGAAAACTAAAGGATCAAAATCTTCAATTCCCGTGCTGAATTTACGGATTGTACCCTTCCATCTTCCATATCAGGAGAATGTATTACCCTAAAAATTGTGCTAAAACTAAAAACACGCACACACACAAATGTCTGTCTTCCTTGGCCAGAAAGGATAAATTCGTTAATTGATGATTTGCTTACAGGTAAAAATGAAACAAGAGTACAAGCAAACCTTTATCACGCGATCTCGAAAATTGATATCATCTACACTGTAGGACCAGTCATGGCAGAAATGGCTTTGCTTCTGTCTGTATTGAAGAGAATGGGTCCATTTTGAGGGGTCACTGAATAGTGAATACTCGGTACAGCTAAGCGGCTTGCTTAGTGAAAGCTCGACAAGGACTTGATTAGTGCCCCAATTTTGGATAAGAATTTGGTCGTTCCTTCAGGGATGGGGGATTTGATGTTCTGTAATTTGCATTATAAGCAACCCTTGAA